TGTCCTAGAGCAATCCAGCTGGGTGGTGGGTGGATACTAGAAAGAAATAGAGTCTCTCCCTAAGTCCTGCTTTTTGCAGGCACATTTCATGGATACTTGACAAAGACTGTCAGATTGATCCCGGTTAGCCGTCCACAACAGATAGTTGGGAATACACGAAAGGTTCCTCTGAAAAGCGCATTTTATCACCTACCTTCTCACAGCATGCCAAGGCCTTTTCAGCTCTATTGCAGATGTCAGCTAACATCAGGTGACATCAGTGGCTTTGCATTTTCTGTGACTCCAGATCCAGTTTGTCTTAGGCATTAGAAGCATGTCAGGGCCTGCAGACCAGGTGCCATAGGGCTCTTTTTGGACTAAACACCTGTAGCATGGCTCTCTGTGCCCGCATAGGTACACCAGACAGCCCTTTTCCTAAACTGAACAGCCTTCATTTGGTAACCAAGAGTGCAAAAAAATGGTGGAGGGGGGAGCGCACACACACAGAGATAAAAGTATAACATGACGGATACACAACATTGCATTTTACCAGACGTACCGGATGGGTTTCACCTGATGAGTACACACTCATTGGTGACGTTCGTTTCTGGAGTGGAACTAAAGGAGGTCTGTCTCGTGCATAGGGTTGCTTGTGGACTTTTCTTTGAAGAATTAAGGAGAGGAGAATAGCCAAGAGGATCAAACCTAGAACTACCATCAGCACTGCAAACCACAACTCGTTGTAGAATTTTGTACGTTTGGACTCTGCTTTGTCCTTCTCTCCAGGTGTTGTCAAGATCAGACCTGTAAAAATCAAGAGAAATTAGGGGAGAAAGGGAATGTTATTTCAGAAGGCGTTTAACAATATGCTATCCCTTTCCTCGCTAATAAATTAGGCAGAAATTTAAGTAATTTTGTCATCATGTGCTTATTTGCACTTATGTTCAAGGTGGCATAATGGTTCAATATGCTAGCGGGCTATAATAAAAAGCTTACTACCCTCAAGAGACCCTGCTTAAAGTTCTGGCATTGCTGCTCAGGCTGGAAATCACCAATGCATCAGCAGCTCTTGAGAGAGGCGGCAGTGGAGGTGGAATGCAAGACAAAAAGGGTTCTCCAAGTAACCTTGAAGAGTGGAAATGCCTACGGTAATTTCAGAGCAGTACAGGCAGAGGTCATTCTCTCCAGCACTGTGTAGTGGCAGGCCTGTGCAGTTAAAAAGAGAGAGGGAGGACAACTGAACCAAAATGAGTGATAAATTAATACAAAAGCAAACAACATGAAACATTTTATTCCTCCTTCCACTGCCTGTTAGAAAAAAACAGCCATTTGGTTGGCTTTGCTCATGCACAACAGAAGCATAAGAAATCTCAGTGACAGGATTTCCTGGTTATTTGAAATCCTACACGCAAATCCAGACTCTTTGCTAAGGAACGTCCATCACCTTCACTTGCAAGCCTCTGCTGCAAATTGCCTGTGGTGCTGATCGAGTTTGCAGTACACTCTGGGTACAAGCAGCAATTAAAAGAAAAGAGGAGCAGACTGTGGAAGGTGATGGATGTAGAGCAACTGGGAACATTTTATAATGCCTTTATAGCAAACTTGCATGAAATTCTGCAGGTGGATGGAGTGAGAACATGAAAAGGGATGTAAGGGAAATGCAGTGTAAAAGAGTCATTGCAAAGACAAGGCCCATCTTTTTTAGGAAGCTGAACAAGATTCAACTCAAACAATAAATAAATGCATTAAAAACAATACGTCACTTAGAAGTGGTTCGAGCTTAGCTTTGCTTCCCAGAAAACTAAGGAGTTAAAAAACCTGCAACTTTTTACTGGTAGGCATCTACTACTTAGTGGACAACAAGTGACTGGGATGCCACCATGCCAAACTCCTTCACTTCCACGAAACAGGCGAAGGCCTGATGGACAGAAGGGAAAGA